TGACAACAACCCATGATAACCCAAATCAAGAATCCCTTCAATTAAACACCATAACCAATCTTAAACCTCACCCAACCAAAAAAACAACAAAAAAAGGAATACAACTTTATTATATGATTAAATTAATCATAAAAATAGCTTTTTTAATCATTTTTTTTCATTTTTTTTTTGGGATTATTATACAGCTAGAGAGATGAAATGGTGAGAATTGCAAAGTGAAAGTGAAAACTCGAAAAACTGTGCTTTCATTGACTCATTTGTCTTTCTCTTACACCTTTTTCTGCTCTGACACAGCTTTCTCTGTTTTTTCTTTGTAACTTTGCTTTGTCCTCAAAAAATAAAAAGAAGTTATGAGGGTATTTTCGTCCAGTTTGGTGTTGTTTTATTGTAAAAATCTCGCGGTAAAAAATCTTAATGATAGATTTAGCTACCATTTTAGGCCATATTTTTTGGAAATTAGATTTAGGTGAAATTTTAAGATTTGCTTTAGTTTTTGGAAATATATTTAAAGTTTTTGTTTTTAAAAAATGGAAAATTAGATTTAGGTGAAATTTGGATTGATGTTTTAAAAATTTAATGTAGTTTTTGATGATATATTTTCAATTTTTCTATAAATAAATATAGAACGTGACGTGTAAATGATAAGTTTTAAAAACTATAGTAAATTTATCATAATTTGATATAATATTGTTGTTTTATGATGAACTAGATGATAGATTATTTTAAAATTATAACATGATATTTTAGAAAAAGTTATTAACAACACAATTACAAAATATTTCAAATATTCATTTGACAATGAAATTTGATTTAATTTTGAAAATTTATCTTTAAAATACTTTCAGTCATTTTTTGAAAGAAATTTAATTTTCACTTGCCAAGATTTTTATTTTAAATATTTTTATATTTAAAAGAAAACACTTATCATTTCATATAACTAATGATGATACGTATATTCAGTGATATATTCACATTTTGTGATGTTCAAATTAATTTAAGTCCCGTTTGGAGATGATTTTAAATGAGATTGATTTGAAATTAGATTTTTATTTATATATGTATTTGAATATCTTAAATGTATTTATTTTTTTCTCATTAACATCAAAATTCCACAAAGTTATGAACACTTTCACATCATTCTTTGATAATCTTATCAAATATCAAATCATATATAGTTCATAAACAAGATTTCAAAATATCTTAACGTGTCACTGTAATAAATATCATATTCATTTTATAAATAAGTTTTTGTGATTACAAACTTACAAATATAATGTATAACTTCAAAAAGATCTAATGGTCATACAAAACATATAGCTTCCATACCATTTTTATAAAGTAGGAATAAGACTATGTACGTATAATGCATCATTTTATTCAGTCTTGACTCATAAAATTACATTAAATATATTATTACTGTAAGTAAAATACAATTCGATGAAGTGACGTCTCATAACACCAACTCTATTTAGGTAGCTCCACTGCGTATACGTGTGCATCTCGTTAAGAGAAACGAGATGCACACGTATCATGTTTAAAACAATTTAGTAATATTCTTGGACCTTCACGTGCGAACTTGCAAAATGCAAAATTTGTCAGCCACGTTGTCTTGACTTCGTAGGGATCTGCGTGCAATTACATCATTCGCAGTTTCCAATTTTCCACGGCCCCCTATATAGGCCCATAATTTAACTATTGGGCTTTTGGTTTCTTAAGCCCAGTCCAGTCAAATTTATCTCAACCCAATCAAGTACCCCTAATTTGGTTTAGGACATTTTCGAATTCAAAATATTAAAGATTATATATAAAAAAAAATTAAATGAGGTTTTATTGAAAACAACTTTTCCATCTTCAAAAGTAAGGATAAGTTCTACGTATACAATATATCTCACTTTTTTTTAACCCCACTTGATTGTTATAAAGACTATTTGAATCGTTATTTCAATATACTCAACTTTTCTGCGAGTTCCAATTTAGAAGGTTGAATTGACCATCAGAAAACAAATTAATGTTCAATAAAAAGTAAACTCTTTGAAGTTTATTTTAATGTGAAGGGAATATATTTTTCCCCACTTTTTTTGGTTTCATATTTTGTTTTGGTTGACATAAAGGTTGAGTTTCAACAATCTAGTTTTTCTCCTCATTGTACGGTCGAAAATTTGTCTTTTCTAAATGATTGTTATAATTTTATAATTGTTATAATTTTGTAATTATAGCAATTGATTGTAATAAAAACTACTTTGCTAATTATTTTCCAAGTTCCAAAGTCAACAATTGCTGAAAGGTGAAAGAAAAAGAGAAGGGTGTGTTTGTGTCGGTAATATGACTAGAACTTACAACAAACTAAGTATACAAAACTCCTAATTTGGTTATATTTGAAAAATATATGATTGGCATTTGGCGTTAAGGTTTATGGGTGAAGTAATCTAAATGACAAGTGTCAGAGAAAATTTGTCGAAAGATATTAAATTTATACTTTTAGGGATAAAGCACGTTAAATAACGCATGTTACATATTTCCTTGTGCATTTTGATTCTCTTTCAAATGCATTCCTGCTTCTAAAAAGACACGTTTCATATTCTCATTTGAATTTCTTTACATACCTTTTAGAAAATATCTATTTCGAGTTTGAAATAAGAACTAATTATTAATGTATCCAAAAGGAAGAATCATAATTTTAAAAAAATATTTCCTCGAGTCCAAAATCTTTTTTGTTTTTCACTTAAGGATAATTGCAACCCTTTTAAGAAATATTTATATTTTTGGTGTATTTGTCTAAACAACTATTTATCTCTCAATAAACTTCTCACTTAATTAACACTCATCAATTATAACAATAGGGTAGATTTTGAAAAGAAAGAAAAAGGTATTACATGACTTCATATTTGTTTAAAACGTTAAACAATTTGAAAGAAATTTAATTTGTTAAAATGACAAATATTTTGGATCTGAAAATAAATCAACTAAGGACAAATCTACAATTTGTTAAATAATTCACATGAAAGTGCTATTTGAATAAATAAAATCATAATCTAATCAAAGACATTGAGACACAAACACATGAAATGATGTTTCTTTTTGTTTTGTTTTATGTTACCTAACGAAAGATGATTAGTGTTAATGTGTTTATGGAGAGAGCAATTATTCTTTGCATCTTCTGGCATTTATTCAGAAAAACAAAAAGATGGGCATATCTGCAGAGTTTAATTTATTTATATTTAACTCGGATATATAAAATTTTCGAGGAGAGGTAGAGATAGACTAGAAAAGAACTGGATAGAGATGATTAAACATGACACAATATTCCTGCTAACTCACGAGGATATATGATCGTAGATATATAGAAAATCATGCATCAAGGATTAAAGAAGACGGTTAGTAATTTGTAGTAGAACCGTTTCTCTTTTTCGGAGTGGTAAAGCATACTCCCTTACAATTATTATTATTATCGATCGGTAGCTTAGTTTTTCAATTTTATTACTATTGTTATTTCTTTTATTCCGATTACCTTTTCTAAGTTTACTATCAATATTTTTCTTTCATCAATATTTTCATAATAACTTTTTCATTCTTACATATTTTTTCAAATATATCATGAAATAAGGTAAATCTAAAGCAACTTTTTTCTTCCATAAAAATATAAATAAGATTTGTAGATATTTTATTTTCTTTCGAAATTATTTTGAATTTGTTATTGTTATAAGATCTATGCAAAAAGCAGATAGTGTGAAAAATTAAAAATGATGATAAAAAAACAAGAAACGAGAACCAATTCACTTTGATTCCTCAGGTGACTACATTATGAGAAGCTAACATTATCATGAACAAATGATTGGTTCATTATTTATAGTAATTTATGAAACTAATGATCTCAATTATTTAGAACAAAATCATGTGCAAGTTGCTTTCTTCATTATTTGTGCATCAATTGTTTGGGGATTAATTTTTTTAAGATGAATAATGGTGGGGAGTCTCGAAGCAACGATGAAGTTATATATCTTTGTGTGATTTATGATTTACAAGTTTGAACTGTGGAAGTAAATATTAACGCTTGTTTTATGACATGTCGTATAGACCATGCACATTCTTGAAATGTTGCGATCGTTTCTAAACCCCGTTTAAATTGATAATGCTTTATGCATCGCATTGTTTTTTTACTTTTTTTTGTTAGATAGATATTAATCAAGTTCACATGTTATACCGCCTGCTTTAATATGCCAACAGCCTTTCTTTAATACCTTATGAATAATAATAATGGACAAAATACCGACTGAAAATTGTCACTATATATATCACTTTAATTAAATTCACATGATTCTTATCTGGAAAAAAAAAGAGAGAAAAAGATAAAGAGTTGTTTGAATGAGCAATTTGCTGGAGTACAATATATCCAGCAATGATTTTTTATCTTTAAACAGGTAACATTATTCTTTATTCATTTCCAAAAAAAAAAAAAGTCTTAAAGTAAAGTTTTAATTTGGTTCAAAAATTGACGATCAGATATGTAGAAAAATCAAAACCTGGATAAAATAAAATTGTATGGAATTTGGGATTTAAAAGTCTACACAAATTTAGGTTTTTAGATGCTAATTTAATTTACTCCTATATTTATTCAAATAAAAAAGGCTCTAAATATACGAGACTCGCGATTGATTATTTGGAAATAACTCATTGGTTGTAAATTTACGAGATTATATACTTATATATGTGACATGGTTTACAAGTCATATTACTAGTAATGTGACATAATTGAAGTAATTTTGAATTCCAATGTATTACTCATCAATCAAAGTTAAGATGGAAAAAAATGACAGCCAGAAATTAAATCGAGAAATTTTCAAAAGCAAATTACTTGACTGAATGGAGGAAGAAAGAGCCTTTAAAATGTTGATGAAATTACATTAGATATATTATTATTGTATTTAATAGTAAACTTTTTTTCTCGTCAATCAAATCAACTTTATAACAATAACAAATCAAATACATAGTTAAAAAAAACATTTAAGCAAAATATACATGTATGCATCATCTTTAATTTCCCTTTTACCTTATTTTTCTATTGTGTGAATACATTAAGCAATGAAACTCTAGCATTAATTAAACTCCTAAACACTTTCTCTCCACATTTTTCAATCCCACAAATACAATCTTCCAATTCATGCATTTTTTTAGTCACAATTTTCACCTCTTCATCTCCTTTATTTTTTCTCAACAAATTCTCCAATTCCATTTCTACAAATTCCACAATTCCTTCATTTTCTTTCAATTTTTTTGTCTTCTTTCCTAATCCAATCCATGAACAAGATGGTTTAGCATATGCCATTGATACTCCAAGTCCATTAAAAAGTGCAATTGAAACTAATTGTGTTACTTCTATTATGTCTTTCATCACTTCTGCTAACTCTGCATCTCCATCAGGTATTGGTATAGTTTGTTGAGGTACAATATATTTCCCTATACATTGTACGTTGAACGCGAGTTTATCCATTTCCTTAGCCATTTTTCTCAATGCTTTCGCGTATGAAGCAATCTTAGATTCATCTTTACGCCTCACAGCTACCTGTAGAAACATAATATAATTAAATATCAATAACTAAGTTCGTAAATATATTATGATCACACACACTCATAAATATATTATCAAGACTCGAAAACTTGAGAATTTGTATGCAAAATGAGCTTATAAAAGATTGTCAATCAACAATAAGGTGGAATTCTAGATCTTGAATCTAGTAATTACTAACTTGAGCCCACTTAGCTAATTGGGGACAAAATTTAAAAAGTGGAGTAAAAAGGGCGATTTTGTGCAAAGGCGCGGACAGTACTATTTAAAACTTAGCCGTTTTTGAATCTTTCATTAAAGTGTTTATTTTTCAAAAATATGATGGAAAAGTGGTTAGTGAGTCTATTTTTACATCCAAAAAAGCAAAAAAAAATATTTAATTTTCAGTTTTCGGCCATGAAGGGCTAGTAACAATGTTGCGATATAATATAATTAAGTAATTAAAAGTATGATATATCGCGTTGTTTAAGTTTACGTTACCTGAGCAGCTAAATGTTCTTCCTTGAAAGTGAGTATCAAGGTCTGGAAGATTCCATAAACGTCGACGAAGTGAAGGAAATCATCTAGAAGCTTCTCGACCAAATCAGAATGTCCATGTAAGGATTCGCGTGTTTGTGGAAGAAGAAGCAGATCATCAAGAGATTCATGAACAATTTTCAGTTGATTGAGTCCATCACAAATCCAATTTGAAGTTCGATTTTCAGGCTTAATAGCCCATGATTTGAGCTCGTTTAAATCATCTTTGAGCTGAGAAATTAATGGATGAGATCGACATGGTAGACTAGCAGATCGGACATGGAAGGATTTTTTGGGTTTATTTGAATGGTTTGGGTGATTTGGGAAAGAAAGAGATCTGCGGAAATTAGCCACCATTCGAGGAGCCATTGTTCTTGATTTTGATAGTGTTTTTTCTTTTCCCATTTTTTGGACAGAAAAGGGGAAAAAAATAATTTTTGTGAAGAGTTGGACAGTTGAGAAGTGTTTATAAAGGAGACAACAAGTAGATCTAAATATTTAATTGAGTAGGTGTAAAATAATACTCCTACTAGTAGTATATATTAACTCGATTTTATTGACGCGTTTGGAAACAATTTTTCTACTTTTTGTAAACCTCAATATAAGTTCAATTGAATCCAATAACTTTTGCTTAAATAATGTATTTTGTATTAAGAAGTTTATTAAATATGTATAAAAATTTCCTTTAAAACTCAGTTATTAACTCTTGAATGAGCCATAAGGTTAAAATTCTGATTTCTCCGAGTCACTACGTATTTGTTATTCTTGTCTATTTTGTTTATGGGCAAATTTGTAACTATTTTTCATAATTGTGGAGAAAAATTGATCATTCTACAAATAAATAAGAGATATGTGTTAAAAAACTAGGATCAATCTTATAACTGTTGAGAATATTATTAAATAATAAAAGTGTGCTCTCTCTAGCAACTTAAGCTTTTAGATGAGTTGATCACACACTTCAACATGATACCAGAGTAGATAGAGGTCCTGAGATCAAATCTCACCGCCACCCAAATAAAAAAAAAATTCACGTTGATTATTTGGCATGGCTTATAGTTAGAGAATAAGGGTATATTTGAAATAATTTTGTAACGATAAAAATATATATTTTTGGCCCCGATTATTAAGTATTTATACTCCCTTCCATGGTGATCCAGGTCGTTTATGCATGACATTATTACTATCTGGTGAGTTAATATTAGGTAGATGTAAAATGATAAAATTTTATGATCACGTAATTAATTTTTAATTTTTTTGAATACGTATAACTGAATTAATTAAAGAGCATAAAAGAGAATAGATTGAGGGAATAAATCCAGCTGTTTTTGGGGAAGCAAAAAAAAGGCAAAATCCCGTTAGTAAAGGTGGCTATGGCTATGGGAGTGATGATCTGTATTTCTGTAATTCACAGGTTATACTGGTTTTCCTGTTGTGTTGGAGCCTACACACCACGTGCCCCTCACACCCTGTCTGTCCTCTTTTCGTTTTTCAAAAATTATCTGAACAAACAATCTCGATCTATATATATATTTAGTTTTTTTTGTTTTTTTTTAAAAAAAAGTTACATAATATAGTGGGATTATGCGATTTATTATATATCGTAACATTATACATGAATCTGTATATTTAAAAGTAACGATCTTCATTACTTACATTTACACATACGCATAAAATTACCATCAAATATAGAACAACATATTATATGTGTGCAAATACTTGTTTTAAAAAGTAAAGCAATTCTTGCTATTTTATTTTATTTTACAAAAAATATACACAAATAATACTACTTCAATTCTTCTAAGTTAATTTAGCTAAAAGCCCAAGAGTTTTTTTTAAAATAAAAAAAATAGAATTATTAGGTGAAGAGCCCATGATTTTTGTTGGTGATAGAGCAAACAAGTCAAATTAATTTCCAGTATGACATTCTTGATTTCTTGTATTATTCTACCACTTGTCTCATAATTATTGTTTTTTTTGCGTTGGTATAATACTCCTTTTTCAGTATTTTCTGAGTTTTTTTCCTGTTTTCTTTTCAGACATTATTGTTATTTTATTTGTTACTAGTAAGCAATATGTATAGTGCCCATAAATACAGCTATTATTTTTCTTTGTCCTGATATATTTGGCATTATGATTCGAACAATAAGGTTGTCAGTTTTTATTTTTTATTTTCGAAATGATTTTCTAATCGCTAATGATGAGTTGTAGCTGAATTTGGATAGAGAGATTATCTGCATTAATTCCAAATACGTTCATTGAATATGTTATTGTTATCCTTGTAGATCATTTGTGTCTTAAGTTATTCAATCTATGGCCTCTTGTACTTTGGTGTAAAATTTGTTCCACTAATTGGTGTTGAAAATATAATCATCAAGATGCTATTTAAAAAATATATATTATTTTCATCATAATAAGGAAAAATCTACAAGAAAAAACTTGCCATTAATCACACAATTGTTTATAAGTAAAAAAAGTCTTCGTTGCAAACAAGTTGCTCAAAAGAAAACCTTACTATAGGTTCAAAATTAATGTATGAGTTGTTTTTTTGAAGATCGAAAAAGACTTCCATTTAACGTGTTGAATTAATTATAATAATGCGGTGAAATTGATTGCAAAATTTAAAGTATAGACTTAACTAACCTCACGTGTCCGTTTGGGACGCGTACCCGCAATCAAAGGAAATTAAGTTAACATCAATCATTATACTCTCGTTTTAATTTATTTAATCTATTTTAACTTGACATAATTTTCAAAATAAAGAAAGTATCTTAATTTTGCAGCACTAAATTAAAGATATGTCAAATCTATCAAAATAATCTATAATCTTGTGATTTTAAATATGCTATGTGGAAATTAAAATTAAAAAAAGAATAAAAAAAGATTTCTTTTTAAACAGACTAAAAATAAAAGTAAGTTAAACAAATTAAAATGAATGAGATACTAAATTTTTATCTAGATTAACACACAACTTAACTTTACCATTGGTGATCTAGGGGTGTCGGGTACGAATTTTCTAAAATTCTATAATCTTTATTCAGATTTTATATTTATATTAAAAAGGTATTAAATGTAAAAGATATATTTGTTTAGAGAACCCAACAACAAAACAATCACGTAACAAATAAATATAAATTTTATAAATCAATTACTAATAAAAAATCATATAGCTAATTCCATTTGTTGGTAACTTTGGAGTAGTTGTTGTTGCTACATTTGTTTTCTAGTGGATTAGGACATGGAGCTAGACTTTATAAATTTTCAATTAAATTTAATAGCTTCGATTTCAAACTTGATAACTATCTTAGGAAATTTATTGAATATATGACAAAATTAAGAGTTTTAATAATTACGTTAAAAGTAACAGAGAATAGACTATCATTTCTAGTACTATATTAGTAATAAAAAAACCTTCTTTCCTAGATGGAAATTTGGTTCTTACGCGTATAATTTACAGCTAAGAATTTATAGGAAAAGTATGTCAATATATCAATTTATGTCTATTTATTCATAATTCACATTATTGGTTCCATGCAATAACAGAGGACGTTGCATGCACCATGCACTTTAATAACTGAGTTAGGTACGTAATAAACACCTCTATTTTCGTTATTGTTCTTTTTTCTGTTTGTTGTGTAATGTTTTCCATTTCGAATTAATTTGCTATTGTAATTATACTATTTGACATGCATCGATCATTTGAGCTGAGGACTTATCAGAGATAAGTCTCTTATGTAGATATGAGATGTACATACATTTTATTTTTTCAGACTTCTACTTTATGGAATCGTTCAAAATTATTATTGTAAATTTCTTTCGGCTTATGATTATATTGAAACCATGCACAAAGTAAAGTTCTTTTGGATCCAAAATGATTTTATAAATAACAACAATCAAAGAAATCTCATATATACTTCTAGAAGTTCTTCTGTTTTCCCTTCGTTTGTACGTAACCTGATCTTTTTCTTCTTTTATAAGCATTGCTTTCTTTCATTTATCACGTTTCACTTTATGAGAGTAAAATTAATTAATACTATCTAAGTTAAATTAAATTAGATAGATTTAATATTTAAATTTAAATTTAAAGATATTAGAAACTTGTACAAAAAATACTTTAAATTTAGTTATCCATCTCGTATTAATATAATAAAAATATACATTTTAAAATGTAAATTAAAATCGTATAGTTTTCAATAAGCAGATGTGACAAGTAAAAATTAGCGAAAAAGTAACATATGAATAAATCACAAAAAATAAATTTAATGTCTATGTACATTTATAAGAATAATTTTATAAATTTACATATTATGAAATTTGTTCCATTTAATCTTGAAGAAACTTATCAAACATGTATGGTTATATTTAAATTATACGATATATATATATTGGTAAAAAATAACAGATACTCGATAACACAAATTATTCCGAACACCATTATCACAAAAAATAATTAATAGTGTGTTTGGTACGTGAAGTCATGCATGAATTGCACTTCCCTCGATTGATCAGTCCAATAATATAATGACGGTTGCAGGAAGATCTTTTTATGATATTATGGTATTATGTTAATGTTCAAGTTGAGGCAATTAATGCCACTAATTCTATCTTGTTTAATTAGCTTAATTAATTAACTTATGTAGGTTTAAGTGCAAAGAATCAGAATAAGGACAACCTGTAAAATCATACACTTTAAAACCTTTTTCTAATGGATCGATCATATACTCATAGAAGATCCACGGAATTAATGAGGAGTGGCGTCCCAAAATATTATCGCCTTTTTTTTAAAGTCAAACTATATGAATTTTGATCAATATTTTATGAACGCGACGATAACCAAACATATGTTACAGAGCTCGGCTGTCAATGTTGGCTAGTAAGCCCACATCTATTAAATGCACACATGGTGGATCACCCTGCATATACCTATATAAACAATAATAATATAATTATCGTTGAAAGAAAAATATATTATCACTGAATGTCTCTTTTGTTACCATTCTATTTCAGTATTTTGTTTACATGGTGTTTAGAATTTTGTAACAAAAAATTTCTTTCTCTCGATCTAGAAAAACTAATTATGCTAAGCATAAATTAAAGTTGAAAAATTTAGATAATTATTTTTTGATTTTCTAAAAATGACAAAAGAACATTTATATATTGTTAGCAAACATGACAACTAACTAGAAATAAAAGGAATATATACAACCTATTTTTGGTAATAAAATAAAATATCTCCATATATAATCAGTTGTTAAATGTTGACCTTGAAATAACTGAAGAGCCATATCGTCAACGAATAATCAAAGTCTTGGACATGCTTGGGTAGTTGTTTGCTTTGCATTATGCATGCCTCAAATCCAATAAAATTCTAAAAAAAATAGTTTTTTAGTTTATTTTTTTACGACTATAATAATAATAATAATAATAATAATCGATATAGTTTTACAAGTGGAGTCTGAAGATTGATAAGATGTACGCAGATATTATTCCTATATTTATGTGATTAGGAGACTGTTTTTGATGGACCATATGTATGAAAATTAGTTTTTTTAGTGGTTTGTCGTTAATTCATAGTTTTCTTTAACTATGAATTATTTGATTAATCACGTTTTCATTTCTCTCATTTTTACTTACTTTATGAATAATGAACGTGCGAATTACTTGGGTTACATTACTTTATATTCTTTTCGAAATTCTTTACACTCTGGATTAGTTTAATTATTTCCCTTTTTCAAAATAATTATGGAGATACTTTTGAGCCAGTCTTTATTTACTTGAATTAATTGTCTTTATGAATTAAGATTGAACTTTAGATAAAGGTATCTGAGTAGCAGAGTAGAATGTTAATAGCTAGATAGTTGAGTTTGATTTACTTTTTTATGGGTTTAGCTAGGCTTGGTGGGAGCCGTGTGTTTCTTGTAGTATTGGTTTTATACATGTATTTTCTTTTCAATTATCGCATTATTTCATTGTTACGTTGCTACTATTTCTTTTCTTTGAATGCGTTATTAATTGACATATTTTCTTCATTGTCGTATTTTCATTTTCATAAATTTATACATTGATTTGCTATACTTAAGCCAATAATATTTCAAAACAACTTTTCTATCTCCACGAGATAATAATAAAGCCTACTTATATTCTATACTTCCAAAACCTTACTAGTAAAATTACACTAGCTATATTGTTATTTCTTTGGGTTCTATTATTTTTATACACTTTTTGACATTATTGTGAACCAATTAACTCGAAGACAGGTAGTTGGAATTTATTCTGTTTTTGAAGATAAGAGTATTATCTGGCAGCCTACCTGAAACGTGGTAGGCAAAATAATTTTTTTTCTTTTACAAAGTTAATTAATATACTAGTAAAGAATAATACAAGATTTAAGTGAGCTCAAATAATGATAGTAAAGAATAATTCAATCTACATTACCAGACCAATACACTTTCTCTTAAAAAAAAACAAATTCATTACATAGTATAGGATTGAGAAAAGGAATAGAGGAAAATGAATTCATTAACACCTATTGAGTATGAGAACTCTAATCGATATTACTAAATTATAATAACAACGATCGATGAGTATAAGTAAAACTTGAATTTTTAACTTCAATCTCGTAAGTCTATAGTTAATTATGAAACGACTAAACATTTAAATATTTTGTAATTTTCGATTATGCATTAAATGGTGGTCCATAGTTGTCTTCACTATCCATGCACTTACCCAATTTTTCAAGGGAGTTGAATCCTTATAAACTCCAAATTATAGGCTACTAGTCCTTAGCGGGCCTTCGAATGATTGGTCCAAATCAAATAATAATAATAACCTTTTGGATTCAAGACCCAAAACAAATTACTATGAATTTAGTAGCTTTATGCATTGAACCGATCGATAGGGCAAAAAACATTGATGTTAACATGTAATTTTAAGAAATAACAGACCAAAGAAAGTTGCTCGGGTGATAAGCACACCCCTACTTCCAACTCAAAGGTTGTGAGAGTTTTTAAAATGGAAAAATTGTATATAGCAAATTATTAATTCAAATTAAATGCTATAACCATAGTTTGATTTAATTGTTACCCCACTAGCAAACTGTTGCTATTTCGTCCTCTCTCCCTGGTGAATCTCGCCCGCCACTCTCGTTCTCGCTGGGGCAGTCTCGCTCGTCTCTCTCGCTTTTATACAAAACACAAATGTATACATTGCGTTTGTGTTTGTATAAAAGCGAGAAAGAGAGAAAGACAAAAGAAAACTAGGGCAGGGGAAGATCGTATTTGCATAATCATAAGTGTATAGGACGAAAATATATGCATTTGTATTTGTATATATAATTTTCTCTCACTTTATACAAACACAGATGTATAAAATGTGTTGTTGTTTGTATAAAGCGAGAGAAAATTGTATATATACATATATTTTCGTTCCCTTCTCTCCCCTCTTCCAGCTCTCGCTCGCCTCTCACTCTATATAAACACAAATGTATAAAATGTGTTTGTGTTTTGTATTAAAAGCGAGCGAAAAATTGTATATATACATATATTTTCGTTCCCTTCTCTCCCCTCTTCCAGATCTCGCTCGCCTCTCACTGTATATAAACACAAATGTATACATTGCGTTTGTGTTTGTATAAAGTGAGAGAAAATTATATATACAAATACAAATGCATATATTTTCGTCCTATACACTTATGATTATGCAAATACGATCTTCCCCTGCCCAGTTTTCTTTTGTCTTTCTCTCTTTCTCGCTTTATACAAACACAGATTATACAATTGATTCTTTTGTATATGTATACCGAAACAGATTATACAATTGCTTCTTTTGTATGTATAGCGAAATAACCATAGCAAATATAAAGTTTGCTATGAAGCACAATTATGCAAACTATAGTTATAACATACAAATATGATTTTTATGTTTGTTATATGTGAAAGTTGTTCTTTTAAAATTCGCTCTCTATTACTTATACAACAATATTAAACTTTACCACTAACTTTGTGGGATAGTGATAGCACAACAAAATAAGGTACGAAAAACAGGAAACTTTTCTCCATTTCTCTAAATTACTTTCTCCGTAAAGGTACAATACTAGTTAGAACTTAGTATCCATGAGATATTTAACCAAAAAAAAACTGTGTCGTCTACAGAAAATCTAAGGTAATTTCTACAATACTTTTTGTTTCCTGAAGTAGAAAATATGAATAAAAAAGAAACCCTGTAACGTACGTAGAAAAAAAACTGCGTGGGAGGCTAGAAAACTATACATAGTTTACCTATACTATAATGGTTTGGCTATTTGTTTCGAGGTTAGACGGGCACTGATAAACCCAATCGACAAATTTGAGACACTGGAGGAGCCTCCCAATAAGCAGTTTTTTTCATTAATTCCGCGAAATCTTTCACACACTGCTCCATTTTTAGATTTTCAACTCGTTGTCTCGCTGCAGCTAGTTTATTACCTGCCACTTGGTCGAATATTTTCTGCCAACCACTCTCCCACTCGGCATGGGCATCACAGAGCTGAAGGGTGTTATTGGCCCAGTCGGTCCAGCTCCATCCTCTGTACAGTTTGTTCATCATAAGACCAACGCAGTGGTGAGTGCACGGAGGTGTGCAAGGCCGGCACTTGGCACCACTTAATGGGCCTGGACTAGAAAGTGCTGCTACTGGAACACCAAAACGGGGTGGTGGAAAATCATAGCTACGATCTGATACAACACAAAATGGGAGGCGCTTAGAGATGCAGGGAACTCTGTGGATAGTCAGTTGGGCCTTGAATGCACCCTCGGAGTTGAGGAGATGGTATCTGGCTGCATCCAACTCAGGAATCAAGGAGAGCCGTGAAAGAGCTACTACAGAAGTGTTGTAGTCACCAAGGCCAAAGCGATCATTTAAGCCACCGTAGGATGAACCAGAAGGGACTAAATAGGCGCCGGGAATGAAGTCCTCGGGTGATAGTGGAGAGTTCCAGTATCCATCAACTCGGGTACGGATTATCCAATCATAAGTGAAGTTGTTCTTGTGCTGGTAGGCTTGAATCATCGTCAAGCAACCCTCAACCAGGTTGAAATATTGCAGGAGGCCCTGCCATACAGAATAGTAAAATTTCGGTTACAATTTTTGGGAATTAGAAAAAAGCTAGTGTAGGTTATTAGCATTCCAGATTGTTAAATCTTAAATGCACTTCCTTTTTTTCTCTTTAAAATATGATAGTCTTTCTTCAATACAAGAACAACAACAACTACAACATACCCAATGTAATCTCACACGTAAGGTATGGGGAGGGTAGAGTATGAGCAGACCTTACCTCTACCTCGTAAATAGAGAGGTTATTTCCGATAGACAAAATAAACTACCAACCAGCGGAAAGGCGGGAGTGATTTCTACATATTCCTCTCTGCTTTCATTTATTATGAGATTTTAACTACTATAGGAAACTCTTCAACATCTTTTCACCCGTCGATCTTCATTTTATAAGATTCCAAACATTTTTCCACCTTGGACAGTGGACGCCATGCAGAGACAAGTCTAACTTGTAGTAATGGGGCTGTCCTTTATTATTTTATCTGGTTCTAAATGTATTTTTCTTTCTTTTGGTGAACCATACAGATGTGTAGATATAGCAGTAGTAGTGGACATGATCGGCTTACACCCCATTTGTAAGAGCTAGAGAAAAAACCACATCGACTTTAACCTTTGAAATCATGTCTGCAATATTTAGCTAAATGCTAATGCACTAAGAATTCAAGGATCTAACGTACTATCTCACAATTTACAACTAAACAATGCACCATTAAGTCTATATTATAGATGGAAATAAAGACACAATGACAACATAGCAATTTAAGTCCAACCAATGTGGTCCTGCTTTGGATATAGGGCTAGAGCTGGAATTAGTTACTCGAATTAGGTGAAGGTATAGATGTTAGACTTGTAAACAGCATATTAAATGTTAAGCCTACTCTTCAAACATACTTAATTATAATGTTTCAACTACCATTAATCTTGACCAGCATACTATTCAATGGAAAAACTAATGAATTGGTAGACCATTCAATAGTATTCCTTGAGAATAATTTCATTTTTTTCCAATTTAACAATCCCCTTCTAAAGTAACTTAACCGGGATTATGTCATCAACTTCTTCAACATTTTCTTATTTCTTCCTCACAAACCTGTGATGCTTTTAGGTTAGACCCCACAGAATTGATCAAGTCACTGAGAAGGTAAACCAAACTTTACCTAAACTACCTACCTTCCATAGTATACGTATTCTCTTCCGTCCCTTCTCTTCAGAAGATAAGAATTGAGGTGCGGTCACGCCAGAACTGCAGACTTCTTCTCACCAATGCTTGTTTTATGTATTTTAATAACCGCAGTGTTTGGGCCAGTCTATACTAACCTTGACTAATAGGTGCTGGATTTCATCAGATCATATATATCACTCTCAGCTACATCTCAATACCAAATTTGTACAGGTCAGCTATATGAATCAATGTACTTATAACTCTATTCATCAAAAGTTCAGAACTTTGGTATTGGTCGTAAACCTACTGTAATTTTTTTTTATACGTAAATCTTCTTGTTATTTGAACACAGTCGAAATTACATTTCACCAAATCAAACCAACCGAAACACCAGAACAAGTCGACATCGACTGCTAACTAACATGAGCCACTAGCTACAAACACCATTAACAACCTTCCAAAATTGGAAGTTGGTTACAATTAATACACCATTAATATCTAAAGTATTTGTAATGATCCTAAAGAACAAAACATTTACGCCACATAAACATTCTCCTTTTAGAATTTTGTTTACTTAAACCTCAAACACTAGTTAAGCTAACAACAACATACTCAGTATTACACAGTGTTAACAAACCTTACTCCTACCTCGAGATTTCAAAACGAGTAGTTAAGCTAAGCAAACAAAATAAATGCATATATGAACAAAAACAAAAACTATACCTGAATACCATTAGGTGAGCCACGAGCACTGAGAACTCGGACCTGAAACTCAGTCTCTTTAATGGTTTTAGGCTTGAAAATTTTAATGGCGGAGATTCGAGGAGCATTTTTTAACAAGGAAAGCTTGTAGGCATTAGAATCCAACGGACTATGAAGGTACAGATCAGAATTCGGATACTCTTTCAGAATTTTCTGTATTACAGAAGGCCCAGTTAGTTCAAACCTACGAGCCCCACCCACTATACACACAGCAATTCTAGACCGGTTCAACTCCTCCTTCGTTACCGATCGATTCAAAAAAACCGGCGGAAACAGAGGCTCAGACCGATCTAAGCCTGTTTGATTCGTAAAAACCGGCGGATGCGGAGGAACAGGGGCGTTATTGTTGAAAAAAGAGTTGAGAGGGGCAAAAGTGGAAAAAGTGTTACTGGCTATGGCGGAAATGGAGGAAAGAGAAAAGTAAAAAAGGAGAGAAAGTAGAGGAAGAATCAAGAGTAAAAGCTTCCAATGAAGATCTGAAGAAACCCATTTTGAACATTTTTTCATCATTTTTTATTCTCTTTGTTCCAGATCTCTGGTTTCGGTTCTTCTTCCATAAATAGAAAACAATAAAAGTTGAATCTTCTTCTTCCTCTTCTACAACTTGTGCTGCTTCCCAATGCTACTGCTCCTATTCTACAAAAACTGTAGCTTGTCCGCCATGCACGGCCAAATGAAGAAATTTGGACTTTTTCTACGGCTAATTTAGTACAAAGTTGGCTGAAAAACGTTTTTTTTTATTTTTGAAGGTAAGGTAAGATAATTATCACAGTGTGATAAAGATGAATCTCGAATGTGAAAAAAGAAAATACCAAAGCAAGAAAAGAATATGAATATTTTATTTTACATGTATATAACCTTTAGTTTACTATAATAATTAGTAATTAATACGTAAATTACATTAGGGAAAAAAATAGTGCTATTGCATTCACTTGAGAGGGAAAAAAATAATTAATGAAATGCAGATGGATGAGTAATTAATTATGGAAATCGAGGAGGAATAAAAAGAGGGAATAAAGGTTTAAAAAGTGAAAATATGTAAAGTAGATCTAGCAATTGACATATATTCCTAATCTCTTGTTTGTTAATTAAAATATTTGTATTTGTTTATCTCAATGAAGACGACACAAGTCATGGCTTATGTCAAATTATATTTATTTGACAAAACACTATATAATATACTTCCTCCATTCCATATTAATTTAATTTTTGAGGTATGAGCATTCTCAATAAGAGAGCTCGGATCGAATCGCCTTTTAAGAAAAATAGATTAAGACTGAACATAGTTTTTCATTTTTACCCTTATTAATAATTGTTAAATTTATGATTAAAATAACTAAATATTAATTAATCACTAATTTCAATACTAACTAATGAAGGGTAAAATTGAAAGAACACTCTAAAAGTAGACTTGTAAACTGAATAATTAAGTTAATTTGAAAAATAAAAAATACCTCAAAAATTAAATTAATATGGAATAGAGGGAGTAAATACCTCAAAAATTTTACATCGGCTCTGCTGCCACACCCCATTTTTATGAAAGAAATTGTTTTTTTCCAAGTTTGGTATCTGCATTAAGATATGACTTGTTTCGAATTCAAATATTGGAAGGCCTATCTTGGGGAGGTATTCCCAATAATATTTTAGTTAATTTTCATAGGTTCAAACTCGATACCTCAAAGAATGAAGGAATTTCGAGCAAAGGTTAAGTCAATTTTTTTAAAAAAAAAACTAAAAGGGATTCTATATATATATAAATTATGTAACTTTTCATTAAAGGGATTCAGATTAACCCATCGATCCTATCTCGATCATCTCATCACAACCCTTTGAATTTATTGGGTTCAATTGAACTCGTAGTAAACATGGTATATGCGTCTATGTGTGAATACAAACCCATACTTACAAGATGAAAGCTCGTCGACTTTTTATAAACATTTGGTACCATTAATAGCGAGGTTCTACAAAAGCAATGTAGTTTATTTCAAATGAAAATATAGCCATCAACTTTATTTATTAATAGATGCTTAACTTGAAATCTTAATTACTTCTAGCTTAATTTATTTTATCTAGACTCTAGAGTTGGTCCTTTCAGAACTAGGCCCAAGTTTATAACTATTACTATCTTAATACAATATCATATAGTATGTTCCATCATGACAACATTATTTTCATATTAGGGTAAATACTTTTCCATCCTTAACCAACGAATTCAAGTATAAGACTTGAGAATATAGTCATATATGGTAGAGAGTGCATTAAACCCGATGCAAAAATGATTTAAATCTCTAAAAGAATGAACTAAATGAATAGGCAAAGTATGTTTTGTTACATTGAGAATTGGCAATAACAATCAAAATCTAAAAATTTGCCAACTACCAACATTCAACATCAACCTTGTTTGAAAACAAACCAGCTTGTCATTGTGACAAGGTGGGAGGAAACTCATCTTCTGGAGGCAGAGATGGACCAAAATCCATTGATGGGAACACACCGGGCGGTCTGTCTCGAGGTTGGATTGACAATAACTGGGAAGAATCGCCTACAACATCTGCCCATCCATAGTGAGGTTCAGCCCTATAAATAATACAAGTAAAAACATGTTAGTTCAATATCGTAAAAACTATTCATGAATGAGTTTAACTTCTATACGCTAACAGCATACAAGAATAGATACATGTAACTAACTATCTGTAGTAAGTGGAAAAAGTTATTTGAAAAATAAGATAGACAACGTGCTGTAACTGTACTGATAATGTCCATGTTATAAGTTAAATCCTACAGCCTACTAACACTAGAACTATGACTTACTCGTAGTAAGTTCCTTCATCCACAACGATGTCCCAACTTTCACCTGTTGTGCTCTTGCCGTACTTGTGCACTTTGCTGATTCATGGAAACAACATTGTTTATAAGTTTCTAAAGTGTAAAAGCGCCATGGAAATGGACATCTAATAAGCTGAATTTTAGTTCAAATTCATAACTCTGACATACCCATTTCCGAAGTGCTCCTCTCCCCATGTCCTGGACCATCCTGGATAATTAGGAAAAGAAAAAAAAGAAGAGAATTGGATGATTGGTTAGCTTGAAACTCAAAATAAGAGACACAGTAATACATATTATGATAGTTAGGGAATTTCTTTTCACAACTTAACTTTCACCAGGAAAAACTTGTAATTGGTTTTTGTGTTTTAGCACCTAAGTCCTTTTGGAATGTAAAGATGTAATTCGAAAAAATAGAAGGTAGACATACTATCACCGACGGGTGACACATGCCAAGTCTCTCCTTGCCGTGAACCAATTCCAGCGAAAAATTTCTCTTCCCACTTGTCTCCCCATTTTGTTCCAAGCTCAGTTTCTGCCCACTTATCTGTCCTGAGAAAAGGAGCATGGAACGATAAGCAACATAAAACCACCTTGTCAGCAACTCAAGACCACTAGGGAGGTTTTGACAAACTTTTTCACCCCTTTAACAATGCCGGTTTACCAATTCTCAAAAAGTCAGAAACAAGCAATTATAATAATGTCATGAAAAGGAGAGAGTAAAATAAGATGTTTAACAAACCCTCATACTTCAAGCAATGTTGTTGATATCAGTCAAGTTTCAATTGTATGAGATTACAATTCTAGAGGGCCAGATAGGACATATAATGATGACCAATGTCAAGATTATCTTACCATCAAATTCTAGAACTTGATTTATTTCCAGTAACTAGTGCAGTAGCAAAACAAAAAGTTCAGCATAAACACAGGTTTATCTACTGCAAGTGTGAACCCAAAGCAGATTGTTGCAGTTCTAGTTTATTACCATGTCTTGGATGAACGTATTCTAAAGTTTTTTTGTTTGTTCAGGTGACATAGCATAACAGCAGTTAAAGGCAAAAACAGGTCGTAGGACTTCAAAGTACCAAGAGTTTAGTGGTAAAACACTATCAATAGTTACCAAAGTGCCTCCACCAAAACTCCACTATATCAAGAGGGCGAGAGTTTGATGCTAAATAACTAACACAACAAATAGGTATGTACCATTTAAGAACAGATCCTCTTCCATCATAATGCTCTCCCCATTTCTCCCACCACGATTGTTCATTTAATCTGCCATACTTGTGTGCCCCTTTCTCTGTCCAACCCTTTGCATCATACTTTTCCCACCTGCATATGAAATATCAATGCTTAAAAAATTATTGTGCATGTATTCATGACCATGTAAACTAATTATTCCCCTCAAAATCTCTTACCAATTTTCATACCACCCAGCGTTCTCAGTGCCTGATTTTGCTTGTTTTTGTGCACTCCTTTCAATCCTAGCAAGATTACTGTAGATTGAAAATGCAGCATAATTATTTTAATAATTCTCCCAGAGCAGCAAAGCAATCCTCATCAGCTTATATTATTACAAAATCTAAGAAAACATATATTTAACCTCCATTCATCTTGGTGAAGAACTTCCCGCCATGTTTCCCACCATGCGTCCCCTTCAACATTTTTCCCGGATTTCTCAACACCTGTTAATTAAACAAAGGGAAAACTTGATGTTTCATGAAGTACAAAATAAAGGATGACCGTGGAATCATTAAAAACAATTGTAAGATAGAAAATTTAAACCAAATGCAGCAAGGTTATACATATTTAAAGTAAAAAGTCATACCGAGTTCTTTGTATCCGGTCCAATCACTTTTCTCCCACCACTGTCAAGGAGATCAACAAATCCAATTAAAAGCATCCACCTGGGATGGTACTTGATAAGGTTATAAAATAATGTCTACAATGAAAATTGGACTCAAATATTTCTTCAACAGTAGATTGTTAAAGAGGATGCAAGAACTTATTTGCAGCGCTTTATCCATCAGAATAAGGTATTCATGGTTAACCAATTAACCTTTTAATAGTCTGTCTGTCATATTATTAGCCAATCATTCCCAGACTCCAATCAAAAAAGTACATTGTGTTCAAGTTTAGGACATAAAGTTAATTTTCTGACAGGTAAACATTCCCCATATTCTAGACACTTATCACTGGCTCAACAGTCCACAAGCCTAGCCAGAGAAAACATGTGCATTCAAAACCAGCAAAGAAAATTGATTTATGTGATGACTAAACATGAAAAAAGTTCTTGTTGTTCTCCTTTAGCTAAACCTCTACTTCTTGTGCTTGTGTCATCACTCATCAATGTAGTTAAGGCATTATAGTTCTGTGTTCAGGTTTCCGCTTCATACTATAGATATTGCACATCAGGTAAATATTAACATATGCAAAAAAAGCGAGATGTCCGTCCTTGGAAAAGGTGATCCCATTTAATAGGTTTTCAAGTATAATTTTACAATACAATCTTCAAGATCCACAACAACACAGCCATACACTAATCACAAGATTAAGAACATGCATACCGTTTCTTTCCATTCTAAGGTACCATCACTGCTCTGACCACCCATCCTTGTCCATCGGCATCGGTATCCATTGTCACCAAGGTCTTCCCCACTCTCCCGATACCATGTACTGCCGTCTTCGTTTACTCCAGTTTCATTGACATTATCATTTAGCATACTGATGCCCCAATCTTTCTCATTAGCAATACCCGTGTCTATAGAAAGGAAGGGTGGTAAAAAAAAATTATCATCAGGTGTCATAAAGACAATTACAAATGTAATGTGACTAGAGTAATTATCAATATCATCTGAAAAAAGAAACACTCTTCTAAAAGCCAAAAAATAAGGAACCATAACTACCTCGTTTTGGTGGAGAATCACGGGACTTAGGGCCTGAATTTCTTGGGGTGCATCGGGAAAAGAACTTTTCTGGCTTTGAAACAAATC